CCACGATCTTACACTCATTAATCGTTAAGGAAAATTTCTTCCTATCCATTTTCACATTTATCATATCATATCGATACACAGTGGTAAAGTTACCAATCAATCATGCATTCTCTTATCAATTTTCCGGATGTTTCTTGGGATGCATTAAAGGTTATAATATTATTCTACCACCGTTCAAATCTCTTTTAACAAAAATAAATTTAATTATTGAGTAGCAGAAAAAAGAACGTGAAAAAGGGAAGGCTTATAAAGGATTAAAGACTGATACATTTGAGAATAAAAATAATGAATATCCTTTTCTTTTAACTTTTATAAGGTTTTACGGATAAGTAAAACAGAAGAACTTAAAATTAGGAAATTTCTGAGCAGCAGAAGCTTCTTATCTTCATTCCTATGGGATTTACATAAGCACAGAAAAGAAATATCCTGGGAAACGAGAAAAGGCAGAGAGGAAATACCGCAGTAACAATATCCAAAGAAAGAAAGATATGCAGCAAAATGCAATACCCTATTTAACAGATCTGTCCACCATTTTTCTGAAAACAGTCTTTGAACTTAATTCTGTTCATAATTAATACTGAAAGGAATAATTTAGAAGGAATCTTGGTTGGCCCAGTTTAGAGTCATCTTAATTGGTTAGTTATACCAAAGTATTGGAAGGGAAACACTGCAAGCTATATTGAAATATCTTCTCTTACAAATTCTCATTTTCTCTCTCTCTTCAAACAACTGTTAAGGATATAATATTTGAAAGATAAATTCATCTCGAAAGAATACAAAATTCTTAATAATCACAGAATCGCCATTTAAAAAGTGTCGTAAGTGTTGCAATTTGTATAATCTATTTCCTAAACTATTTCTCACATTGTAAGCACTTCATTATACTCTTAACATTAAGCATTTGAGGGAAAGTTTAAATTTGAAATGGAATAAGCAGCAACCGCTTATTCGAAGAACAATTCTTGAAGAACTTGAAGAATTCTTGAAGTTCTTGAAGAACAATCCCGAAAAACAATGGTCGACTATATTTAAACAAATTTTTGAATAAAAATTTTATATGAAATGTTCTGCAATCGTGAAGCAATTGTCAAATGATAAATTCGGAGAATGTTGAAAACTGAAGAAAATGCGAGTTTTCGAAAACCGTTTAGTCAACTGTTTAATTTTGAATTTGGAGTTCTTCAAAAATCATGCGTAATACACTAACAGCATTTTCAGAATATAAAAACTAGCTTACATTAATTGCTTCCTTCTAAGTTTTACTTGTATCTTCCTGTTTATCTGGAAATAGCGCACATTGATTTTCACAATTTAAATTTGACCGAAATATTTGCAATTCTAAATCAGATTATAAATCAGAATTAAATATACAAATTCAAAAATGAAAAAACGATAACTCAAAGAATTATTTCGATCACTCTTAGCTCAAATGCTCCTTTTTTGCAATATAATAAATGGCATCCTCTGCTTAAATAATTTTATATCTGCTTTCATACAGCGTGAATTCAATTCAAATTTAAATACTATATATAACAACAAATAGACACTTTCGAGAATGAGGCATTCAATGCAAAATTATTTCTGCAATATGCAAATCACATTTCTTTGAATGACTTTTTGTTATTTAAACATCCAAATTCAGATAGATAGATTCCAATTTAAATTTCGTCGTTCCGCAAATTTTTCCCTCAGTTTATGTATTTAAAATATACATTATGATATGAGAGGTGTAAACATTATCTATCAAAAGTCAGAGAAAGATGACTTCCTTGCCCTGATGATTTACAATCCAGATTTCATTTTTTTTATCAATTTAATAAATTTTGATGGAAAAATTGTTAAAAGATGAAAGTTTCTTGCTTTGTTCACTGATTGCATTTTGTTAAATTTAACGAGGAATTTCGAGAATATAATAAGATTTCGATGGTGCAAGGAGTTAAAAATACGTAGAATTTTTCTTTCCTGTTTACGAATTAAAAGAAAAGCCTATATTTTTGTGACATAAGAGAAAATTCACATTCGATAAGAATAAACAACCAGTATTAAACATAGAAGAAATTATCTGATTTAAAGATGAGAAATTTAATTTCGGATTTTGGCAAATTTATTGCATCGTAGAAATTTTTGCAAATTTCAAAAAATGAGTGAATGAAATTTGAACATTTATTGTACTGAATCTAAAACGTTCAACAATGTTGGTTATGGACATTGTAAGCTTCTTTTCAATTTATATTTATTAGAAAAGGTTTGATTTGATGTTTATTTCTGAAACTCTTTGAAAGAAATATGTCATATACAGTTAAGTAACATGAAAAGGATGATCTTTTGATTTTAATACTTAATCATATCGAAAATTGCATTTTACAGCTCGATATGATCAGGTATTAAATTTCTTCATTGCTCTCTTAATAGCTTTGCAGTCTGCTTGCTTTTAGTATTAAAAAGAAGGATATGTGCTCAATTAAATTAATCCAACATGTCGTATATTCATATAAGAGTAGGAGTGTGACATGGAATTGTGAACAGAGGGATGAAAAGATGACGGATACCCATGCATTATTTTGATTGAATCAACACTTGCGGTATGTTCCATTTGTTAATACATTGAAATTAGAAAGGTAAGTAAGAATAAAGGAAAAGAGGAGAGGCCAAGTAAGTCAGTACTAAAATTGGGAAAGAACCACGGATAGAAGAGAAACTTTCGGATTCATTTCTATTATTGGAAGAAATAGGTCGATTCTTAAAGCAAAAAGTGTAACTTTTTCTGAAGTTACAAATATTTAGTAAACAAATTTAATTACCTGAACTTCATTCAATGCAAGGTATAGGCTATTCAATAAATCCTCACCATAACGAATTTAATTTTTTTATAAAGTAGTAGAGAAAGGAAAGACTTGCGAGCTCTTCACCTTATGAGAAAATTTTACAGGGATAGAAACGGAAATTTGTTACAGTGCAAGGCATATACTATCCATTGATTATTCTTTATCACCACAAATTGTTTGTTTGCTATTCCCTTCAGAATTGTTTTCTGCATTTCAAGATAAAACTACAATTCATTTATTTAAATTGTTGAAAAGGGAAGGCTGCAGCTGAGCTGTTGTGACACTTCATGGTTTAAGTCCGCAATAGTGGGATTCAAAGAGATGATTCATCAAAAGTTAATATCGTTGGCTCACAAACCATATTCATTACTAATTCACAGTAAGAAGCAAATATTCCTCCAAAGAAGAATAATTACTCAGGAATTGTCCCTATCGATCATTTGTTACCTTTTAAAGCTTCAACATGTATATGTCTACAACACAGCAAATCATGTCCAATTCGTAAATTAATTATATGAGCCTGAAATGTTCATTTTTCATTATGCCAATAATTTATAATAATAATCCATTGAGAATAAAATTTGTCAAGCTAAATATGAAAGTTAAATGATGAAATAAAAAAAAGTCCAGAATGGAAGATTTGTTTTGTTTTGAAAGTTTCTGATAAAGAAGCACTATTATAGTTGTTTAATTGAATTGACCTTTGACAGTAAAATTTCTTCGCTATATAACATTTTGAATTCTTTAAATTCTTGCAAGCATAAAATAAATTTCTTCAGTTTTTTATTCCACTGGCGAGTGCTTATTCACCGATTCACATATTCCTTTATCATTTCCTCTGTATCACCGGTGTATTCGCCAATCTTGCAATTGTGGTAGTATTATTGAGACCGGTGATGCGCAGGAATCATTTTAATGCCTTCTTGATAGCAATTGCATTATGCGATATGACGCTGATGGCTTTTTATTTCATTTTCAAACAGGTAACTTTACTTTGAATTATAATTTGTTAGAAACATAATTAAATTGTAAATCAAATAAAATTTCAAAACGATGATAACATCGTGAACAAATTCAACTTCTAATATTCTTAACAGAGATTAAGATTCAACTTCTAATATTCTTAACTGATTTTACCTGAATGAAATTGTGAATAGAGAAGTTCTGGAGTGGACTAATTTTTTATTGATTTAAGTAAATAACAATAATTCTCATTTGTCTGTCTTTCCAAAAATCAATATTAAAACTAATCAGTTATTTGATTAATATTAATATATTCAAGTTCACCATTTAATCTTTTCAAGAATTTTTAAATAATTTAAAAAGAAGCTGATATTTTGCACTTACCGTAGCAAAAATTTAATATTAGAAAAAAGTTTGCTAGCCTCTTTGCTTGGTGCCAAGTTATTGGCCATACTGGGACATCGAGCAGTTTATCTTTCCTTCTCGGAAAATTAAGGAAATAAGAAAACTAAGCCTAGCGATAAAAGAAAAGGAAAAGTCATTAATTCTACTAATTTCTGTCTTCTGAGGAAGCATCGTAGGAAGGGAAGAAATAATGACGAACTTTTTCCTGAAAAGCATCATTTCAAAGTTGTAATTAATTCCTTTGTCTTTTTTTCAATAAATAACAATATTTCATTTATTTCATTCAGTAGCTTTGAAAGGAGGAAAAGAAAAATATTTCGCAATGATCGTTTATGAAAATTATTTAAACAAACTATGAAAATTCTTTTGGAGATTTCATAACACATTTGAATGGAAAATTCAACAAAATATTTAGCAGGAATTTCTAATAATTTCATATTTCGTATTATCTGTAGTAATATGTTTATCCGAGGGGGAAAAAAAAGAATTCTAATCTGTTTTTTAATCCACTTCAAACTTCAGATTAATTTCCTTGAGAAGTTGTTGACAGTGGTCCATTGCATAGCTAAATAAATCCAAGAAATCTCGAAAACATCTCTCTTAAATTTTTATGCTTTTGAAAGTGCACTTATACTTATTTAATCTATTGAATCAACTATATGAAAATTTAATAGAATTGTAGAAAATTCACTTCAGATTGAGATATGTCACCCGTGGTACTTCACCTATTTCTGGATAGTGTTTACCTACTTTTATGCCATTTTATCTGTTTTTGTCCATTCATCATCTCTCTGGCTAACTGTTAACATGGCTGCCCTACGATATCTGGTGCTGAAACGAAGTGCGACATCGACATCGAAAATACCGATTGTTAATACTTTCAAAGCCGCATTTATCGCAATTATTGCGGCTATCATTATTTCACTCCTTGGTTCTCTGCCAAATATGTTAAGATATCAGGTGAAACATTCACAATAATGACAATAACAATGATAATAATTGCAATAGTTGCAAGATTGCAACATATTGACACACATGCATGAATCTTCCTGCTGACATCTTAACATTTTAACACGACAGACATCAGCCGCTTCTGTCAATTCACCCCACTCTTTCCACAACTGTTTAGCATATGGTGGTGCTATGCAACTCCATCATCCAAATTTTGATTTCAGATCCGTGATAGCGGTTACCTGAATGTTCCAACATATTGTACATCAAATCAATCAGCATATTCGCACTATTATGTGGATAATCCCAAAGTTCATGCATATAATATTGCTCAGCCATTATGGTGGACCTGTCGCTGGGAAAGGTTTAATTTCTGGGCTGCTGGTTAGTTTCTTTGAAAATTTTATTTATTTCACCTTTCTGTATTAAACCTATCATTGGATCCTTTTGCTAGGAATGATCAAGAACGTAAACTCTAGAATCTAGAAAGGTAATCAGTCCATTAAATGTTTCACTTAATACTGTTACTCGTAATACAATAATGAATCATATTTCGATGAAATGACCACTACATAGTTTACTATTAATGCTTGCAATTTTAACTAGCTTATTTACAAATATTAAGGTTGTCAATTGTAAATTATGTTCATTCAGAAATAAATTTAAATACATAAAATGAAGACTAAGTTCATAATTTTGAATACAAATTAAATTGCTTTGTTTGAAAAGAATCAGGAAAAGAAGCTGGAAGCTCGAAGCATTTCTAAATAGTATATATATATTATAAGCTCATAGACCTGTTTTCTGGTGAACGGAAAAGCAAGGCATGCTTTTTTCTCATTCCACTTAAATTTTTCCTTGGTTGGAAGTTTGATTCATTGAAACTTATGGAAAACAAAGGAGAAGCAGAGAGACTGACAGTAAACGGAAGAAGGTAAAAGCAAACGTTGCATACGTTCCCATTTGATGTGCCTTTTTCTCAAAGCTACAAAATACGGAAACAATAAGTTTAGTTAAAACAGCGAGGAATTGATAATCAGTATTTCCATCATTCAGCATTTTACTGAAACCAGATTAGGTGTGTTAAGAGAATCACAATGCGTTTTAGGTTTGGTGCTAAAATTGGTACCGTGTTTGATGTTGACAATATTTATGACATTGCTGGTACGTATGCTAATTGAAGCCCGCGAACGACGTACTCGCTTATGTCGCGGTCACACGGGTGGTAAATCTCAGGCAGAACGTACCACTACTATGTTAACTGCTATTGTCGCTGTCTTCTTGGTTACAGAATTACCGCAAGGAATTCTTGTTTTTGCTATAGGTAACTTATTCACGTCTCCTAGACTATTACTAATTGTAACAGGTAATGAACTACTTTAGAATACTCAACTAATATTTTAAAAACTATTACTTTTTTCATTTCTTTCTTTGTTCCGATTCTTACTAACCCATCCAATTTTAGGTTTAAAACCAGGTATTCGATATGCGATGCAATATCTTGGTGATTTTATTGATGTACTATCATTGATAAATAGCAGCTTCAATTTCATTTTATGTGCCTTAATGAGTGATGTGTTTAGGCAAGTTCAAAATACACTAATTTTAACATTTTTTTCATGATTTGAAATTGAACTTTGTACTGTTAAAACTTCTAGTATTACATTTCAAATTAATTGAGTTTAAATTTATTAATTTGCAGGCGAGAATTTTTGTTAACCTTTGGTTCCTGCTGTCCAAAATTCAGTGAAAATATCAACAGTATTGGTTCCAGGACATTAACGATGACACATAGAATTACACAATCACAACGAAAGGAACTCATGGCCGTCGTCAAATGTTCTGATGAAATAAATGATAATAACAATGTCTACTTATGAATTACATATATCAGAAATCAATAAAAATTATGGCATTTAATTATAGATTTGAATGAAATACAACAAAAAATTCCAATGAGGAACGTAATAAAATGCGTTATAGAAATAAATTCAATTGAATAAAACAAAGTCTAACTACTGATCTGCGATAGTCCATAATTTTGAGGAGAAATTAAATTGCTAACAAATCAAAAAAAGAGGACTTCAGGTTGAAATTGCTTGTACATCATTGATTGTTATACTGAAGAAACCCATTTACAGCGTCGTATAATCTTGACTCAAGAAGTTTGCTGTGACCATACTTTCGAGACAAGGTCATACGACGCCGTCATCAAAAATGATCATTTAAGCCTTGTGTTTTTTTCTCTGGAAGAAATATTGCTCTTATTTTTCTAATATCATGCTTGCTGATATTCTTTTCCATGCTTTTCCACAATTGGCGCTGAAAGCAAGATATACTTTCAACTTTGCTATATTTAAAATTGATTTATTAAAATCCAGTTGACTTTGTTTACCTTTTTCAGAAACTCATAAAAAAGCTTTTTGCTTGCAAAGTACCACAGAATAAAATGCTTTAGGAAATTAAAGAAAAGTAACAAAAGCGAATTGCATGACAACGATTTGGGAGCACATAATTTTGAGGGATTTAAAGGGTACAGTATCAATCAAATTAAGTACAGTAAGATCGATATAATAATAATAATATGGCAAAGTGGTTAGAAGAGAAAAGAAAGGAAAACACTCGGCTAATTAATTACAATGTACAACGGATGATATTTTCGTTAATTTTTTATGTGAACTATTAGAAATTAATTTATTGCTTTATATCCAACAATTTGAAATTCAACGAGCACTTTATTGCAATTTATTTCATATCATTTTTTCATTTCAAAATCAAAAGCTAAACTTTATGGCAAACAAAATATTGGTACGAGAATTATGTGAAATTACAATTCCAATTAATTGATTAATTAATTAGTTTCTATAAAAACATCTCTCCATCCATTTTGTATAATAAAATACTCATATTTATCAATATCTCTAAAAAAGTTATCATCATGTTGAAATTTGAATAATTTAAATAATTGTAAAGTAAATCTCTTGATGATAATTTTGTGATAAGATCTGTAGGAACGGTATTAAATTAGATAATACATTCATAATTGATTTACATGAAATCAGGTAATTGATTATTTGATACTAATTATTTATATGAAATTACATAATTGCTGATTACTTGATACTAATTATTTATATGAAAGTGAGGCTAAGCCTAAGCCTAAGCCAGAATTTCTGTCGATTGCGATTTGTGGCATAATGCACTCCGTTTACTTGAAATATTCATCTAGGCCAAAGCGGGTCTTCCAAGAGCGATAAAAATCAATACAGTTTTTGTTCTTTTGACCACGATCTGATATGAGATTGATTCATTAACATTTTTACAAATAATTCATCCCATAATTAATACTATAATGGTTGTCTGTTCAATAAGCATGCGAGTAAATAAACGATATAAAGAATTTCATTCATTTAAATGAAAATAAAATAAATAATATAATTAAAATGAATGAATTCAGCTGTATTTTCGTCCCTCATTCACTTTTAACATCAATAAATTCAACAGTTATGTTTGTGATGTTTGTGCTCCTAAAATTATATTAAATTATTCATTTTGCTTAATGTTGAAAATTGAAGTTTTTGAAACATTACTTTTTTTTCCAATATTTAATGAACTTAGGAGGAAGAAATAGATGAAATACTGATATTGACGGATGTAATTTCTTGCCAATTTTAAATTCACTAATACACGACGAATATTTGTTTGCCTAAAAGAAAGAAATCACACCACTCGCTCTTTTACAAATTGCTTAAAAATAAAATTTCTTTCAAACAAAGCATTTCGATATATATATATTATCATCAAAAAAGTAACAGTTATGGCTAATACAATAAAAGCGATAAATAATAAACAAATTATTCCCACTGGAAATCAATCGTTAATGTACCAAAAAAGATAATTCTGATTTCAAAAACGAATATTTATTTATAGTTCTATCGTAGTCTTTAAAATATCTTCCATATAACGCGAAATTTTGGGAAAGTGCCGAAATTCTTTGTTGAAATAAATAAAACAGTGTTTAAAAAGTGAAATTTATGGAAGGACAGAGATCATCATCAAATAGCTTCTATTAGAAACTGTCAAAAGATTATATTGTAAATGCTTCTAAAGGTGGAAATAACAAATAATATGTATTAATAATTCATGTCTAACAATAAAATAATAGCAATTGATGTTTAATTTATCATATTGAATAATTTATTTCAACTATTTTATCGAATTATGAAGAATAATTTATGCAAAACACTGGCAACAAAGTTTTTCCATACCTTCAAAATTGAGGTGATATTAGTTAGAGGGAAAAATCTTGCAATATATATTATTGATTTATATATGGTTCTAAAAAATATATATATATATTATTGATTCTCATCCAGAAGTGGGAAATTAGAATTAATAATATGCCATTACACATACTCTTATTTAAATTTCAATCACAAAAAAAGATTTCGATCAAAAGATTTTTTTGCAACACACAAAAAATAAAATGATTTAAATTTTGCCAGCATTCAACTTGCAATAGAATATAAATTCTATTCGGACCGTACAGCAAGAAGATTTTCCAGTATTGTTTGTCATTAAATGCCGAAAGAGATCGGTGGTGATTGACAGTGCTAAAAGCTAGAAAATTTTCACCATATTGAACACCGTCGAGAATTCCGATAAACATTGGATTTTAACAATCAGCAGCTTAAATTCGCTCTATTCCAGTTCAACATGTAATGTGTTACACAATTAGTAGTATTTGCGCCTCCAATAGGTGCTCTATTATTCCATTCGCGTATAAGCTATTATTGTGTTATCAGACAAAAATTCCGTTGCTTTATGTCCATAGGATATTTTGACGGAGCACATGCTATTATCATAATATCAGACAAATCAATACTACATTTATATTAGAGGTGCTAAATTTGTGCGACTGCAGGAGTTGAAATACAATTACATAATTGTGATAGTGAGTGTCGTCATGAGTTATTTAAGCGAAGTAGAATTTGTTGCAGAACCCATTGTAATTTTAACTTAGCGCAATTTTAAATACGTCATTACTTGGAACTATAAATTAAAGCAATAGAGAAATATTTTAGCAATCTGCAAGACTTCATCAATTTATTTACTGCTGTAAGTAAATTTTACGCTGTTGAAAGTTTAATTTCAATCATTTTGGAAATGTAATAAATCTGTTTTCAAAAATATACTATTTTTTTAAAACAATTTTTAACGATATTTGAAAAGGAGTGACAAATTTAAATGTCAGAATAACACAGTCAAATAACGCAGTAAAATTTGCATAAATGGAAATGAAGTCTATACGGTATTAAATGATTTCTCAACGTTCTTTTATTTATTATCGTATGAGAAATAATTTATGCATTTTTATAAAAATTTTTAGTTTCTAATTTCTGTAGCATTAATTAATTGAAAATTACAAGCATATTGGCTTATTACTTTTTTGTAAAATAAATAAAAATAGTAACAGTCGTAATAAAAATTATTTTGCTATTCATCTTTTTTCACCTTTATTATTACACGTTATTATTAAGGAACAATAAATAGTAATGATAGAGCCATTTTTATTAATAACACAAATGATTATGAATAATAAGAATATCTATAAAAATCTAAGCCTAAGCATAAACCCAAAAAACTTAAGCCTAACATGAATGGACAGAAATTATATTATCGCATGTCATACAATGGAATAATATTTCGAAAATATTTTGCTTCTAAAAATTTTAATTCAAATACATTCAATCCCTTAATAATTTAAACATACATTTTGCATTATTTGATTTGTTCTCATTTACAAACGATTTTAGTGAATGCATTAAAGAAATTGCAATTTATAAGTGTGCTGCAAGTACTTATACTTCATTACCTTCTCACATGCTTATCACAGGGAATTGCGAATTCTGAGAATTTGAAATTTGTCTGAACCTGCGGTTCCTCTCGTACTGAGCAGGATTACTATCGCAACAACATATCACAAGTAGGATAAAACTAACCTGTCTCACAACGATCTAAACCCAGATCACGTCCCTATTGGTGGGTGAACAATCCAACTCTTGGCAAATTCTGCTTCGCAATGCTTCGAAAGGGATCAAAAAATTATAGGAAAAGCCGACAAGGAAGGATCAAAAAGCAACGTCGTTAACAACCAGTTATCCCTATGTAACTTTTCTGACACCTCTAGCTAGAAATCGATATCTCTTAGAGTTTTCGATGGTATTCAGCATGATGTAAAGTTCCTGACAATCGTCACGGATTTTCTTCGCCATTTACTGTCAATCCATGCTGGAAATTTAAGATTTTTTTATAAGCATTTGCGACTTCAGATTTTATATTCACAATTGCCATATCAATTGAGCTGGTTGAAATTAATTTATAATTGATAAAGTGACCTTCAAAAAGAGCGATACAAACAAGAAAAAAGTGAACAAAACGTAACTTGTTCTTGCTACTGTATTTTGCTGTATTACTGCATTTTACTACTATATTACTTTAATTTTCCTACTATTACCTTTAAACTGCAACGAAAGTAATACGACGGATATCTAAGAGATTAATACAGTATGATAGTATGACAATACAATATTGTCTCCTCTGTCACGTCTGCACGTTTATTGTATTATCGATTGTAATTTTTTGATCTTTTTCCTCTTTCGCCTGAAATGTATAGAGAAGTCAGAAGAATTTTATCAAATGATTTTTGCTGCCATTTAACTTTTTTAGGATTTAAAAAATAATGAAATTCAAACTTCAAATTTGTCAAATTGTAATATTTTTGTGAATTGAAATTTTTAGTGAAATAGTGAAAGAAACAAATGAAACTTTAACAGTTTGAAATTATTTGTAATTTCTTTCGCAATTAAAAAAAAAGGGAAAAAACCGCAATCGTTCATAACTGATGTAAACGTTCCTTCCATAATACTTTAATATATTACATTCAACACAGTCATTTGATGAAAAGAAGAATATGAAAAGATGGTATTATTGAAAATATTACTCATCGATTTTAAACTTTTACTTCTTTACAAAATTCATTTTTACGATTCAGTTTCATTTTATCAATCAAAAGGGAAATAACCGTCGCTATTGGAATGGTTTCAAATATGGAAGATATGTGAATCAGTATGGAAATATTTAAATAGTTAGCATATAATTCCCTGTTTATATCTCATATTTCAAATAAAATGTAACAAATTGGAAAACTTCAACTGCTTCAGAAGGAATGAAAGTTGAAACTTTTATATTTGGGAAATAATTTTTTAGGAGGAGGCAGGGAACAGTAAAAGAATTTCCAGATAACTGAAATCTTTTATGCCTTTTGAAAACTGAAAATTTTTTTAACATATGTCATACACAAACAATGTTGATTATCCCAATTTTATCATTAACACTATTATTATATCCTTTGTTTTATCATATGAATTAAGATTTAGAAAAGTTTAAGACAATTTCTTTGTCTTTTGTTGAAAATGCATTATTTATTTGTGATTCCTAAAAATAATTTACCACTCTTTTAACCATTTCAAAGCTGAGATTTGATTTTTTAAGCAAACCAAAACAATGCTATCATCGCTTATTTTTAATTTACTTTATTTTCACCTTTTTTGTTTCATTTTAATATAAAAATGAATAAAGACAGAAGAATGAGTAAAAAATGGCTAATGAATCAAAAACTTGAAAAAGCTGAACACTTTTCTGATTTTATCTCATCAGCTTAATTTTAAGCTCCCAATATTTGTGAAGAGAATGGTACCTACTTTAAGATTCTTATTCAGCTCAAAATTTTAATGGTGCAAAATTTTATTTCTGGGATTTAAGACTGAAAATGACATATTGCGACAAATTTCTCCTAGCAACTTCGATGAATACAATCAAAAGAAGAATTTGTTCTGACAATCAATTTATGTGTATTAAATATTAATGCATTCACCATATTGACTTCAATATATTCTCTTGCAATTCAAAAACAAACCATTTTGAAGCATTGACATTTCTGCCATTGAAACTTCCAGCTAATTAAAACCCATTTTACATAATAACTTCAGTGATGTGAATTCGAATGTTTCAGAAAAATTATCGGTGAACAAAAACAATGAATCGTTCTTACTGTATTATTGTTTTATTCCTAATATTACCACCATTAAATTGTCACAATGGGAATATGACAGATATTTTCGACATAAGAGACGACTATAATATGTCGAAAAAATACGTCGCAACAACATTGTTTTCTCTAATCCTGCTGTATGGTATTGTTGGCAATATACTATTGACGGCGGTATTCTGTAGTCGCGACAATATGTACAGTCGTCCATTCATCTGTATCGCAATCCAAATTATTATTTGCAGCATTTTGAATTTTGTTACACAAGTAACTATTGTCATACCTGAAATAGTAAAGAAGAAAATTTCTTATTGTAAGTTCTTTTCTTCTCTTTCATATTATCCATTGATTATCATTTGTTGAAGAGATACATGCAATAAATTTAAAATCGTAGATAATAATCTGATTGCACGATTAATTAATGAGATAGAAATGAATTAATTCATGTACTAAACAAATTTTCCTTAATTAACTAATTGATTAACATTTTAGCATATGAGCCAACATTAATTCACAGAATATTTGCTTCCATGAATACAATTTCATTTTTTGGTATGTTATATTTTTCATTTCTATTGGCGGTTAATCGCTTTGTGGCCATATGTTTATCAAAATATAATGGTTTCTTCAAGTCAATGAAGTTCTATTTTCTCCTCATCTCTGTATGGTTCTCAATTTTCGGTACGATTTGAGTATTTTATGCATTTCTTGAAAGCATTACTAATTGCAAAAGAATCTGCAAAAGACTTCAATAACAATTGCACCTGTTATATCAGTGCTGAGTGATTTTAAAAGAATTTCTCAATGTGATTCTTTTGATCTTCTATTCGCCATAATCTCATTGGTTGACCGATGCTCAACCTTACATAAAGTGCGGCTAGTTAGAGATTACCGTATCGATTTCAGTGTTTTAAATATACTATCAAAAACGCTTTAAAAAGTTAAAACAACTTTTCAGGGCTTTCGGCCATTGAATTTAATTATTGCATTAAATCTTTCAATGTTCCAAATTTGCAATGGTCCTTGAATTGTACCAATAACACGTCAGAAAATGGTGAAGTGTTTAAGAAGTTGGTTATTTTTGAATTTAAATTTTTCTATTCCAAGAAGAATATTATCTAAAGTTAATTGTTTATCCTATAGGAATTAGGAATTTAAAATCGATTTCGCTGATTCGAAATATACTTTTCAATTTCCTTTTGTGAAACAATTATTATTCATCCGTCAGCATCTTCATCTATTACTATCGATTATTTTTGCTCAGGATTCGTCATGTGTGGATACTTGGATTACCAATAGCGATGTTTGCGATATACATTGCAATATTCTACAACATTCGCCAGAGACGGAAAAGTTGTTTGAAGTCGTGCAAATCAAGCGGTAATTTTTGCATTAATTTTTTTATGCAGTTAAAAAAACACAATGCAACAATTTTTAAATCGTTTAAAATTCGGAAATGATTTGCGATTTTTTCCATTTTCTTCTTTCATCTAATTTACAAGTTAATGATGTGAAAGGATGGATGGATACAACGGGCATTGATAAATATTAGTGAACGATGTTAATCTTCAAATACGGTAGTTGAAGTCAACCATTCAAGAATATTTGCAGGATATAAGGCAAAGGTGACTGATAAATATGAGCGATTGATGTTAATGCAATCAGCAATCGTTTGTGGAGCACTTGAAATTGAAATTATTTGTTTCCATTTCCTTTTGCAACTTGCAGTGAAATTAGCAGGCAATAAAGTTGAAATCCCCGTCAATATTTTCATCAATTGCTATGTGATTTTTACCGGTGCATTGCTACCCACCATCAATTTCATTTTCATCAAAAAATTTCGTAAGAACGTGAAAAGAGTAATTCTAGAGTTGTCATCCAAAATTACGAACAATAAAAAAGCAGCTATCGTGCCAACTATATTAGCCACGTAGCTAACATATTAGCTATGTACTAGCTACATGGGGGAAATTCAATCTATTTGTTCTGTACGTTAATACAATAGAGACAATTTGTTTTCTGTTCGATTTCTATGTTGTATGTGTATTGCCCTCATGTATTTTATTTTCGTCGAATGATTCCGCGATCACTATGAAATATGCAATTATGAATTTTCCATTGGAAATTCAAAACTATATGATATCAATTGCTTCAAGAACTACAATACGAACTAAAATTTATCATTTCCCATTTCCCACTAATACAGTTATATTTTCTTTCCAGAATTTAGTATTCGCCAAATCATTCAATCATTAGCCGACTTTTGAAAATAACGAGAATCACCGCAATGCGTTATCATCACTTTCAACTGGTCAATTTTTGCTTTTTCCTCTCTCAATTCAGTATCAATATTGTGGAGCTTTTATGCAAATTTGTTAGTCTTAATTTTATTAAGAAAAAAAACTCTTTTACTCTGAAACTCTATATTTTAGCTGTGAATTAATCGTTTTGAGGTCATCAGAATATTGTACGATACGAAATTGTATATTATATACTAAAGTATTCATGCTATTATCATTCTAATATTATATATCTGAGAGATATTCATGAAAGTTTAGTGTTGCTTTCGCCACTTTGTCGAGCGGTCCAAATTCGCTTTTTGGAATTAAGATGACATGGATTGTAATCAGCTTCCGGAACTATGATGACATGGATTGTAATCAGTTTCAATGATTATTTATTTGAAACAATTAATATTCAAATCCTTGAAATCCTAACTTTTTAGTATAGCCATTTAGGAATGTTACAATTATCTAAACCACATTTAATTATATAGCATAATTGTTTTCAAAATAGAAATGAATAAAATTTATTGAAAGTTTTGTTAGTTAACACATTAAAATGATAAAGCGATGGATGAGCCTAAAAGGATTCTCACTTGCTGTGATCACTAAAATTTAGCTGGCATCGGTCAACAATCACAATTTCTCTGAAAACACTCCGAATTTGACTCATCATTAGATATTAGCAGATATTATCAATATTTCCTGTATTTATTATTGTATGTTATCACTCTGTAAATTCAATACCGAAACAAATTTTTTGACTGCCATATTATTTTATGACTGCCTTATGTTGAAAAATAAGTTTGAGAAAGCTACACGAGCTTCTTCATCTAGTTGTAATACACAACAGTATCATTAGAATAATTATTATGCAATTAGAAATTTGTTTATTATTTCTTCCTGACAAACAATCTCAACATTAATCGTATTAACAGCAAATGATTTTAATCAACCCTTCATTACCAATAAACATAAATATGATAATAAACAGAAGGATGAGAAATCAGCTAAATGATTCATCGCATTAAACATCGTAACATTTAAATAACTACTTATGCTATGAATCACTTCAGCGACAGATATTTCTACAATAAATTATTCTTGTTACTAAGACATATTTATAACAAATTATTTCGAGTTTCGCGACTCTTCCGAATAAAGGAGTTGAATACTTTGGGAGATATAAATTTAGAATTAAAACAAAAAGAATATTGTCTTATAACTGTCATTTGG